ACAGGAAAAAATATTTTCGCGTGATAACAAATTTTTTGTGTCATGGCGGGCCCCCCGCCTTACGAAGTTGGGCCCCCCCCTTGAAAAATTTCTGCGTACGCCACTGGGGTGTGGTACCGTCGTACACCACTATTCACGGTCTATAAAATGAGCACACATTGAAATGTCTATTTTTCATTCACTTTCCATTATTTGTCTGTAACGTACAACAAATAAAAATCGATAGTATGTAATAACTAATGCATTGAATGATATTTTAGTTTCTCTATTAATGTCATCTTGACCGTACTAATAAGTTTATTTTTTATGTAGATCAATGAATTGCAATCTGTATAAAGTCAACAAAATCTTTATTCGATATGCTTTTAATTTAGTAAGTATTTCACTTTTTCTTTCATGAATTCAAGGTCATTCTTTTGTTTGTTGTTTTTTCTTTTTTGCTTCTTAGCTATTTTTATATTTTTATTTTACCTGGTGATAAGTATGTATGCAAATGACTATGCATTTCTTGCTTTTCTTTCTTTTTGATTGCAAATAATGATTACGATTTTTCTTTTACCTTGAAACTAATAATGCTTTAAAGTACTTCAAACAAAAATTAGTCATTCTGATTTTCTTATTTTTCAAAGAATACTAATTCTTATGATATTTTATTTGTCGTTAATTATGATAAAAAAAAAATGTCTATACGTTACACAAATATATAAAACGAAATAAATGTTATAATAAAATTTTTTGAGTTTTTTTTCCCCAAAAAATCTGACTGCACTCAAGTCAAAATTAGTTCAATTTGTTTTAACAATGAGTGCTCAATGTTGTTGTGTCGTTCCAACTAAATCAACAGCTGTATTAAAAAGATTAATTGGGCTACGTCCATCAGTAATTAATGTTGATTTAATACCAAGAGCTTGAAGAAGTTTAACCTAAAAGATAATGAAATTTTTAATAAAATAATAATAAGAAATAAAAAAAGGATAAAATTTACTTGATTATCGGGTCCACTAGTAGCAATAGCTTGAATTGTTTTTGGTCCAATAGCACTAACATGTTCTTTAAATTCCTTTATTTCAATTTCAGCTAATCGTTTAGCTTTATCAATTTCTAAATCAGTTTGCATTTTCGAATAATTTAATTCTAATTCACGTGCTTGTGTTAAACGATAAAGTTCAATATCACCTTCGATTTTCGCTGCTTTAGAACGAAGTGTAGCTAAAATCAAAAATAAAATACATTATATAAACATATAATAATAAATAATGTTTATTTACCTTGTTCAACAGCAGATTCACCCTCAATTTTAGCCGCTTCAGCTCGTGATTGAGCTTCAGCACGTGATTGACCAGTTGATTCAACAGCTGATGATTGAGCTTGAAGTTGTAATAAATTTCGACGTTCCTTTTCGGCTAAACAAAAACAAAACCGATATTTAAAAACAAAAACTTTTCAACAAGAAAAATAAGTTTTACCTTCAGCTTCATCAGCAATCTTTTGTCTTTCTAAAAGACCTTTTGCTTCTTGTTCTGTTCGTGAAGCTATATGTCTGCAAAAAATAAAGAACATATTTATTTGATTTTTTTTTCTAATAAATTATTTTTACTTTGCTTGAGCTTCTTGAGAATTAGTTGTAATCTAAAGAATTTGATTTATATTAATTAGAATAAAAAAAAAATCAATTGATTTATTATTCTTACTTCAATAGCTAATTGAACACTCTTTTGAAGTGCATCACGTGTACGTTGATCAACTGGTTCAACACTTTGAATATCAATTGATGTTAAAACCAAATTATTTTGTGGAAATAAAAGACGTTTAATAATACGTTTATTTTCATCAAGACCAAATACAGATGCACGAATAATTTTCGCTGAATTCTTATGAAAATCATCAAATGGAATACCAGCAACAGCACCACGAATTTTAGCAGCAACAGCTTTACAAAAATCTCCAATAAAATCAGGAACAGAAAAAAGTTTTGCAACTTCTTTATTATCATTATGATCATTAATCTTTAAGAAAAAAAAGAACAAAATGTTAAAACTAAACAACAAATTTTCTTACTTCAAAATGCCAATTATATGAAAGTCTAAGTGAAAGACGAGCATGATCACTTGATTCAATTGTAACAATATCACTTGAAAATTCTGGTCCCAATAAAAGACATATTGCTCGAATTTTATTTGGTACTTTAGGTTTTTCACCAGATAAATTTAAAACTGTAAATTGTTCATCAGGTCCAAGAATAACAAGTTCAGGACCAAAAACAATACGTGCTTTTTTAGATTTAAAATCATATATTTGTACAGCAGCATTATGTGGTACACGATAAGCAACAACTTTTGATTTATCTCTTGGTGGAATAACATTTTGTGTACCTGATTTATCTTCAAAATGTCGTGCATCTAATACAAGTAATTGTTCAACTTGTCCTGGTAATTCTTTTTCCCAAAGTTCTTCATTTTCAGTTAATAAATATGTACTACCAATAACTGAACGAATTTTACCAGTTTTAACATCACGAACATAGATTCCTTCATTGACATCTAATGGTATAGCTTTACGACGTAGAACAACTTCAGATTCAACGGCTGGTATATAATCTTTTGGACCTCGAACCATCCAACGATCACCGGGATTACGTAGGACTTTCTATTTAAATAGAATAGAATAATTCATTTTTTTTTTCGAAAATCAAAATAATAAATGCTTACTCCATCTTCTTTAAATGATTCTGTACAACGAAGAATAAGACCTTCATCTTCTTCAAGAACATATACATCTTGAATGCCGTTAGCTAATTTTTCACCAGGTTGAAGAAAAAATGTTTTTTCACCCTTGAAAATAAATTTTTTTTTTTTATTTAATAAAATCAAATTTATTCATACTTTAATAAGTTTTTTCTTTCCTAGTTGAGGTTTACCATCAGTATCAACTGGATCAAGAATAACACAATATTGACGAGAATTTAATACTGTTACTGATACAACACCAACAACCTATGTTTAAATATCATATTTTTAAGTTTTTTTGCTCGTTCTATTCGGAAAACAAAAACAAAGTTAACCTACTTCTTCATATACATCAGGAATATATGTTTCAGCATCCTTTACATATACTAACCATTCTTCTCCGTGAAGACGTTTACGTTTGAATGCATCAGTAAATGTACGTAATGCACGAACATGAAGAGCTTTCTGAAAATATGAGTATAAGACTATAATGATATCTTATTGACAAATATCATACTTTATCAGTAAGCACGTAAGCCTTGACAGTTGAGACAACTTCTTCATAGGCTAATGGCAAATACGAGCCAACGGTTCGATTAAGCCATTCTTCACCTGTTTCTCGTGAAATATCATCTCGATCTACCATTTCTTTTTTAGCACGTAAACGAACAGCTTCATTTGGTTTAAGAATAACGGCTTTAACTTGTTCTTCAACACTTACTTCTTTACGTGGAAAATATGTTCCTATTAAAAAGAAACGCACACATAAAAGTTAACATTTCGTACTGTTTTTTTATTAAAATCTAATTGATATCATACCAGGTCCTTGAAAAAGAAATTCATCACCAGCTCGAACTTGTTCACCTTGTTCATTCACAAAATCAAGAACAGCACGAAGACGTAAAGCACAATTAGGTTCAATAACTTTTAATGGTGTTACAGCTTGTTTAAGAGTTTCTCCTGGATAAAGAGGAAATGGTTCTTGTGCAAAACGAATATCAACATCTGAATGAAGTAATTTAACTTGACCATTTCTATCTATAACAACTTTGTTAGCTTTATCTCGAACTGCTGGATTTTCAATAACAGCATAATGACGTGGACTATATAGATTATATATATAGTGAAAAAACAATACTACAAAATTACAAAAACTAATTCAAAACATACGGAATGATTAACATGCGTTCAGGTCCAAGTATAACTTTTTCATGATCTTGTTTAACAAAAGTTTTTGGACCTACTTCAAGTCGAGTTACATTTGTATTTTGATCAAGTACGTGTAAATAAAAGAAAGGAGGAATTCGGTATACTAAATACAGAAATCATATAATAAAAAAGAATAATAATAATCAAGGATATATCTTACCACCGGTAGTTTTTGAATCAGCCATAGTGGTTTTTCTTTTGTTATTAGAAACGCCAAATCTGCAAGAATAAAAAGTCCTTTTATGTATGCTAATATCCGTTTAAAAAAATGGTGCGCTATAGAAGGGTTATATGAAACAAAAAAAAATAACAATTTTCAACTCGATTGTGAAATGACATGAGTATTAGTTAACGTCAAGCATTGCACGACTAACCTACAATCATAACCGAATGAGGTTGATTCATGTCGTCAATAAGGAGAAAGAAAAAAACAGAAGGGTCGAAGAGAGTGAATTAGAGAAAGAACGCAAGAGGCCCTGTTTGACAAATTATATTACAAGTCAATGGTGAAAGTATAAATGTTGAGCAATTTTATATATAATTCTGAAATATTTTGTGTAAGAAATATTCTAAATGCGTCCGAAAACATGTGATAATGAGTTGCTTCTTTCTGATGCAATGATTGTTATCTAAAATAACATCTAATTTGATTGAATGATACCTATTTTTTGCTATCTAGATAAGAAAAAAAAATCAAACGAACAAAAAATTTTAACATTTACATTTCGTAGCCATTGAATATGATAAATATACATGTTTGCCAAAAAACGATGGCGAATGTGGCTGATAGGAAGATCTACATTCGAATTTTAGTTAATCTAGGAATTATATTGACGTGAATATGAGTCATTTATAGCTGAGCAGGAAGCGACAAGCTTCAAAAGACTTCAGGATAGATGCTAGCGGTCCGAAGAAATACTCAGAACCGAGTCGTAGGTGCTGGTTAGAAAATAGGAAAAAAATAGCTCCAATTTTGATTCCTAAAAAACTATCTTTAGAACCGATGATTTCATAATAATATGTCACATAACTAATATAATAACTTTTTTCTAGAAATTTCTAAGTTACATATATATTCTATTTTTTTGACAAAGTAATTTTCTCGAAAGATAACCGCAAAGTAAAACTATGAGAAAATCATGAGTATTATTCAATTGTACTGCACTGAAACTTTGTGCGAACACTGGAGATGCTCAGTTACAAATAGAACGAAATTGCAGCTTTCTATTTTACTCTCAGGGAGAGCTATGTCGGTTTCAGTGTATTTATAATACCGTTCTTTGGTGTTTATTGTATCTCCAATGGTATTTAGCCCACTCGATTGAAAAAGTTTTTTTTTTTTTCTTCATTTAACAGAAGACACTGGTGTCCATTGACTCTCGTAAGTTTTTTTTATTGATTTTCTTCCACCAACGGTTTTGAGACATCTACTAACAATGGAGGTGTGTGTATTGATAATCAACAGGATAGGACATATTCGGGTCAAATGAAAGCTCTCACCGAGAAACTAAACGGGGTTAAAATATTAGCTGCCCATGGCTTGCCTAGAGAGAGATATTTAACTTTTAAATCTAGGTATAAAAATGAATCAGTAAAGGTTCTCTCCACTATTATAAGGACCAAACGTAGTGTTGTTCGGGGCGATTATGGGATTTATAGGGTCCCTCTTTCATATGGCCCGAACAACATCATGTTTTGTCCTTATAATAGTAGAGTGAATTTTTTCTGTACCTCATGAAAACAGTTTTTTCTATCCATCACTACAAAAAAATTTACTTCGCTATTATAAGGACAAAACACAGTGTTGTTCGAGCCATATGAAAGAGGGACCCTACAAATCCCATAATTGCCCTGAACAACACTACGTTTGGTCCTTATAATAGTGGAGAAAACCTTTACTGATTCATTTTTATACCCAGATTTAAAAGTTAAATATCTCCCTCTAGTTTAGTTTCTCGGTGAGAGCTTTCATTTGACCCGACTATGTCCTATCCTTTTGATTATCAATACACGCACCTCCATTGTAAGTGAAAAAAACCTTATGAGAGCTGAGAAATTTTATGAAAAATTGAACTTTTAAGCAAAACAAAAAGATTTGAGTTTATCTCTTATTGTGATAGAATATCACAGGGGACCCGTCACTGAACAACTGTCGCAAGAAAAACCAACTTTTCTCAGGAAAAACAATTTTTTTTAGATGGAAAGTCGTCTTTTATGTCAAAATCTCGCTTTTTATAGAGATATAGCTCCAAATCACAGTGATTATGAAAGTACTATCTAACTATGATTTTTCTAAAAAATGATTTGTAAGGAATATACATAGTGTATCGCTAGTGCAATCCTAGATTGACCTTTCTGGCTTTAGATTATGTAACATTTGAAAGGCTTACTACTTACTATTTCAAGCGAATTCACTACGGTGAGAGAACAGCTAAAAATTCCGTCTTAAAGTCTTTGAAAAGGTGAATTGAAGCAACAATCATCGATTTTTGCAAGTGACTATAATTTTATACGGTTTAATATAGAAAAATATTTGACAACGATAAAAAAAAAACTCTGTTGTACTTCACCTCCTAATTCAATAGATATTTCGTCGAAAACTTTATTAAAAACAACAAAAAATAGATGTTTCTCAAAACTTATGACCATTCTATAATTAGTTTGTGATTTCGTGTGATAATTGTCACAATAATTCTTCACATGTAAAGTCGCGTCTTACTGAATATGTCAAATGCCAGCCAGATGCACGATCATATTCTTCACGTATGACATAAATACGAGAATTTGTTACGCTATCATCATGATCTCCAGCTGTTGACGTATACTCGAACAATTCTCCGCCATGTCGGAGATATCTTCGAACTTTTTCGAATAATCGAGAAAGACAATTTCCATTTATTAGAACCTGTCGTCCTCTCGCTTATAGCTCACCTTTTTCTGTTACTCCGTTCTCTATCATTATAATGAGTGAATCTAGTCGAGAATCCACTTGAGTTTGAGATTCACTAGGACGCTCGTATTCATTTGGGTAATGACGGACATGAAGACGAAGAGCGACGAGAAACACACAGACACGAATAACATTCAGTGAATGATCGCGAAGAATGTTATCTGATGAGGATGTTTTCCTGCGTATCTACTAGCGATTTCAATTGAACGTAAAGTTGGAATTTTGCAATGTTCATTGGCTCGAATTGCAATAAAGATTCAATCTTCCGGTGAATAATCAGGAATGTGAATAACGCCGATTTGTTTCTGTATTATGAGATGAATATCCAGATCATCACCTGACTTGCTATGTACTTTCAGTTCACAATACGTACCAATTTTATATTATTTTAGGGAATCGGTGTTAGTATTGATTTTACTTGAAGAATTGAAGGTGTTTTCTACTGTTGCTAGACTATATCAAAACTGATACACAATCATCGTTTTTATTCTGTATTTTATCTACTTATCTAAGCTGAGACAGAGACTACGGCAGAGAATTACCAGAATATTATTCATGATGGCATCACTTATAAGTATTGTGGAAGAAGATTATCTTGTGCTAATATATTGTTCAAAATCTCATCACACAGTTACAATCATCAATTTCTAAATCGATATGTGAATTCTTTTAATATAGACTATCATACCATTAAATTTGAAGGCTACTGATAAGAATTCGTGTACAAAATTCCATTATCGAAATAAAATTACGGGATTGGATAATTGACGAAGGTCGAAAGAATAGCTCAAAGATATTTTGTTATCTTATCTAATATGAAAATTATCGTTTCTTATGCTGTTCTTAGTAATTTGATACTTTTATTTCCAATACTTGCTCTAATGAATCTGTTTTATAGAATGTTTCAAATGTCATTTTATATATACAATAACAATATCGTTAGGTCATTATTTGAACAAATATTTATCAATCAAAAAAATATTTGCTTTGACACATTCTCATAGATTTAAATAGACAATTTTAACCTTTGACAAGTTAGAAAAAACCAAATCATTTCTTTTCTCGTCTATAGTTTGATGAGATTAGATTTTTTTCGTTGACACTGACGTCTAAAGATGCAAGCTGATATCTTGATTGGTGGCTGAAATTCTTTTATGACTTTATAAAAATCTTCTTAACTTCGAGATATTTTGAAATGAAAAAGAGAAAAAACGATGGTAAAGAATTTGTTGACAATGAACATCTTTGAAAGCTGATTTTGGATGTCGGAAGTTTTTTAAAGTCAACTATCGATTTTTGTGCCACGGCAGCGGAAGGAATCTTCAGCAGCTATCTTAGATAGTGATGACGCCATCGACCACGCATCTGTTACCCACCCGATCTCACCAAGCCACACTATACTTTTCAGTGAGAATTTGATGTCAGATTTTAATAATCGCCCTAATCAGGCAGTCAATAGTTCATATAGAGAACGAGAAATCTTCAAAGAATTGAAGTTTCATTAAATTGAATTGAAAACTTTTCACATATTACCAAACGTTGTTGAGCTGATATCTTCATTCAAAGGTACAATTAATCTTGGAATACATCAAGCTATCAGTGTAAATCTAGCAAGACTCTTTTCTGGGACATTTTCGTTACAAATGCTGTAACTCGTTCCATCGTCAATTTCAGTATATTGAGCTTCGAATCCGTTGAGAAATTAAACTTAATGCCACAAGGTAGTTAAATTTGTAGAGATTAACATTTCCTAATGAATAATGTGAGATTGTTGGATATTCGGCTAGCAATTAATAGAGATCCATAATTCGTACTGAAAGGTGTCCTTTTCGACAATGTGGCCTTTACAATATTTTCTTGTCGATATAATTTGCTAACTTTTTAATGTGAAACTTTCTATGAAACGGCTTTTATTTTGGATGAAAGAAATGAAAAATTGAAAGTTTAATTTCTGCTATCTCTATTTTTAAGCGTCTGAATAAAGTAACCGGCAAAGGTTCTTCTAGCTACTAGTAGTAACTTTAAGAAAGGGCGAACTTACGAAATTACTAATTATCGATGAAGTAAAGGTCAAATATCATTCTCAGTTACGTTCGTTCATTCTCGTGTAATCAGTTGATCAGTGATCCCATCCATCTACACCCAGCAATCGACATACAGCCTGAAAGTGTTTCCTGCAGACTACTTCTCATATAAAGACATCAAGAATATGAAAATATTCTTGAGGATTTCACT